TAGAGAATGATAGTAGGAATTCTGAGTTGTTATGAGATAGAGTGGCATGCACTTTGAAGACATTGCAATATTAGAATACTATTTTATATGTAGAAAAAAAAGATCGAATTTCCTAATTTCAAACATGAAAATGCAGAACACAGGGAAATCTTGGCCAATGATAAATGATTTACGCAGAGGTTAAGCAATGTTGCTTTAGAAAAATTTACATGTTTGATTAACTATATAGATATGTAAATAAATGATTTGGTTTAAAGTTACCATAGAGCACCGTTTCACTGATCGTAGCAGAAAAAGGTATAAATTGCCTAATAGTGTACTTTGATACGTTATGAAAGGAATCAATAATAAAAGACACTTGTCTTTAAAATTCTTTTTCCAATACCAACACTGATTCTGGTGCACTTAGACTGGTAAATGGGGGCTGATTATAAGAAAAACATCGATCGAACAGAAAAGAAGGCCATTACCATATACACAAGCTTGCAATATCTCTGATTGAAGAGCTGGGCTTTCAATAATGGTTCACTAATGGTTTCATATTAAGGTGATTTCTGCCATTATCAGACAATCTGAAATCTCAGCTCTTTCTTCCTTCATTTTAAGGCTAGTGTGCAAAATGCAAAGGGACTTAATATTTGGCCTGAGGTAAGAACTTGGATTCTAGCTCTGGATCATGCCTGCTCTGCAATCTGGGTAAAGTAAATGCAGCTCCTAACTATTACTTTCTTATTTGTGTTTTGAAACATAGCTGTAGATACCTGACAAACTGATTGCAAAGATGAAGTGATTAAATGTGTCTATAACATTTGCCATGTGCAGATATCCACAGAAGCCCCTGTGAGTTCCTACACTCCCTCTAGCTGATCCTATTTCTCCTTCATTCATATTTTATGTATTCTAGTGACTTTAGGAATGGAATGTGTTTGTATTCCTCCATCAGCTCTGTTGTCTTCTTAGACCACTCTGTTTGAATGCACAGATCTTGAATTGTTGATCCACAATTAACTGATTGTGTGAAAGTTGGAAAATCACTTAATCTAAAAGTCTTTCATTTCCCCTGTTTGGAAGATCTTTTGAGTAGTCATGTGAATTTCTATTAAACCTCAAAGTTATTTCTCTCTTTTCATTTCTCCTTTTCTTGGGTGTTGTTGGTGTAATAGTAACAACTGCCAAATG